TTTTTCGCGGATGCTTTTTATTTTTTCTCCTTCTTCTTCTTCTTTGAACCTTTTGTAACGACTCTTTTGATTTTAAATGATTTTATTATCATTATTATCGCGTTACGCAAATAGAAAGTTCGAGAATATCTGACTGACTCGGCATCGGATTTTTCAAATTCATCACCAATCAATGATTAAAATGATTCATCTTATTAACCTACTCGCTTACGAATCACGAATTACGACAGAGAAAAAGAAATTCCAAATTTTTTTTTTTTTTTTCATACGTCACTCGTTACGATTCTTCTGCCACGATAAATTTCTTCCTGTCGTTCTCTTTTTTGTGTGCGCGAGTTTTAAAGTGTGTCGTAGTTATTGAATGAACACCGAATTTCCAATTCCGAAATGTGAAATTCGACTATATCCATCAATCACGTGGTGATTAATGATAATGATAATAATAATAATAACAATATCATTATTATTATTATTATTTTTATTAATAATTCCGTTTTTTTTAAAACAATATTCTCATCAGTGGCGGCGTGCGTGCGGATTATTATTTTTCTATTCGATTACCCACCCTTATTTTCATTAATAAAATCATTTAAGTCATCATTATCATCATCATTATTATTATTATCATCACTTCAACGACTTTTTTTTTTTAAAATTTCAAATAAATCTCCAGTGTTCTTTTTCAGTTTTAATTGGAATAAAACTCGGGACCTCCCCGGTAATAATTTATTTTTACTTTTTTTAAAAGTGCGTTGTTTCTACCACGCAACGAAGTGTCATTTAATAATAATGATGAAGATAATAATAATAATAATAATAATAATAATAATAATAATAATAATAATAATAATAATAATAATAATAATAAGCATTAATTCTTTGTTTCCCGTGTGTAAAGTTTTTTTTTTAATGTTAATTTTTTGTGTTTAACGTCAGTCATTTTCACGTATTCGCCGTAGACGTAATAATCGTCAGTAAATTTAACGAATGATTTAATTGGAAAAATAATAATAATAATAATAATAATAATAATAATAATAATAATAATAATAATAATAAAATAAGTAAAAAAATAAATAAAATCGACAAACCGCTACTTCCGTTTGTCGCATAAGTAGGGAGAATCAAGACAAACGCGAACGTTTTGCGTGACCGACATTACCATGTTTAACTTACGGACACTAACGATAATTAAAAAAAAAATTTTTTTTACGCCGCACTGCTAACTCACTGCATCTCGTATTCACCGAATCCTCGTCGAATGTTTTTTACTACCTGATACTCTTTTTCTCTCTCTCTCTCTCTCTCATTCTCTCTGTCTTCAGTCGTTTTGTGGTTTTTGTGAAGTTAGGTCGCGTAATGCTTTTTTATAGTGATTTTTGAGTGAACGCACCGCAATAAATTTTTAATAACTAACATAAAGACATTATTATTATTATTATTATTTTCCCGTCATTCATATCAAAATCATCGGATCGATGTGAATCGAAAAAAAAATTTTTTTTCGTTTTTTTTTTTTTAAACGTTGTCCGTCTGTTTGTCTGTCGTTGTCGTGTGTGCGTGCGTGCGTGTGCGTGTTATAAATATTATTTCGAACGTTATGGCTTCGACCGAAGTGAATAATGTCGATCACAGAGCCCCCGATGTCAGACATTTGGTCTATAGCATGTATAGGAAAATGTTAACCGGGATATAACGATCAAGCAAACGAAAT